TGAACATATTAATGATGAATTATTTTCATCTGTTTGACTTGAAAAATCTTTTAAAGCTTTCATATTTTCATTAAACTATAAATAACAAAAAAGTTTAATATTTAATTTATCAAAACAAATTATGTTTATTTTAATAAAAAAAAAAAAACTTGAAGATAAAACTATGCACTTTCTTTAGTAATACGTAATCATTTATTCTAACACTTCTACTTGTTTTAATTCATCAAAGAAGTTTAAAGAGAAAATAAACGTGATCAAACTTTGTTTTAATGTAGTGACGTTTGTCTGGCTGCCTAAAGGTACTTTATCATATAATCTTTCATCACATATCCCAGACAAATTATTTAACTTTCTTTAAAAAAGAAAAGCATTGTGTCAGTGGTCAAATAATTCAACGTCTATTATTCATTCAATAATACAGTAAATAATATTTTCTCATTATAATAAAAATAATATTATTCAATTATTTTACCGTTTTCTGTTGTTGATATTTAAATATAAGATGTGCCATCTTTTTTTTATGTTGTTGTAAATCATTATATAATATTCCGATTTGTTTAATTAATTCATGTTCTTTTTTTTCATGTCGTATATTTAAATCATCAATAATATTTTTTAATTGTTCTATTGTTTGACATTTTTCATGAAGAATATGTTTTGTTGTTATTATATCCATTGATGTATGAGATAATCTTGATGAACTAAACATTTGTTTATCTAGAAGAAGAATAGATATTCATACATACTATATCAAGTTATAACTAGTCTAACGTCAGACTTTTTTTTTTCTTCTACTATGAATATTAATCGATCCCTATTTACTCACCGTCATATATCAAGAGGAACAATCTTCATTCTCGATTGTCGACCGATGGATAAGAAAAAAGAAAAGAAAGAGAAGAGAAGAGAAGAGAAGAGAAGAGAAGAGAGAGACAATCTTTTTTTTCTCTTTCTAATTATATAACGTTGATTTAACCTGACAAACGCACACCAACATTTTTCTCTATACATCATACATTTCCTGTTTAACGTTTGCTTACTCGTCATGCAGATACAATTCATGAGTTGTGTATTGTTTGTACATTTGCACATATAACCTCTTCATCTATCTAAAATCATTGCGTATACATACATACATATACATACAGGACAGATTTAACATTCATTGTACAATCAGAATATTGAGTATATTCTAATTGTCTTATTTATTAATCAAATACAAAATAGGATTATATTGTCGTATATACATGTTTTTGTCTATGTGAAAAATCAATCGAATCTATTATTATTCTAAATGATTACTCCCATTCATCTGACATTGATTTAATAAATAGATAACGAAGCAGAAACAAAAAGAAATTAATTACATTGAAGGTCGATATATGAAAAGCGTGAAGGATTATCTTACTCAAAAGTCGCGTCAATTTCGGATCTATATATCTATATATATATATATATATATATATATACATACAATATTGCTTATACACCTATTTAACATAAAAGAAGATTATAGTGAATGTCCTTCACAGAATAACACTAGTGCTCTATGCATATAGTGGGTGTATGAAACGATTATATAATGAGTGAAGTGTGCATATCAACAGATGCAAGTATCACAACATAAATACAAGTGGAATCTTTGTTCCGCATATATACATACATAATGACAAAATGACGACAGAAGACCTTGATGAGTGGTGCCTTAGAAATGTCAGAAGAATATATGTATAAATATGATAAGTTCTACTGATTATCATAGACTCAGAGAACTATAATAAATGGGTCGGTCGATGTTGTTAATAGTTATTAGTACCTATGTGGATGTGTTCTTGAGTTTCTCTCTTTATAATAATTGATGACATATGAGACAGCGTGTGACTTAGTAAAGATCATAGAGACAGGTTAAATGACGGCATTGGAACTTGTCAAGATAAGACTTCTCGCATAAAGTCGGCCCAATATCTAATACGACAACAAAAATAACGAATCTCATCTCAGTCTATGTAAAGCATGTGTTGATATGTACGATAAAATAACGAAAAGCAAGTAGTCAATCATCAGAAAATACTACAATGACAAATATATTTGCACTGAGGTTTTTCTTATCATTGAATTTGTTTTCTTGTCCTATTTAATTAAAATAGCACTTACTTTATCGAATAAATCATGAAAGAAGATCATTTCACGGATCATTATATTAATCGTTATTGAATAGGACAAAAAAAAAGTACAAATTTATTTCTTGATCAACATCAAACGAACGAAAAAAAAAATTATCAATCCAATTGATTTTTTTACACTGGTTATTTTTTTGTACTTTCATATATATATATATAGATTAATTGTTATCAAAAATGAATTTTTATTTAATAAGAAAAAAGATCTTAATTAAATAAGCTATCAAAAAAAAGAAAAATACTAGACATATAACATCCGGTCAATAATGTCTACATGCAATGTTTGAATCTATTTCATTGTACATATACCTGTAACAATCTAATTCATATGTATTGACGCTTATGCTCAATAACCCATCAAACTGCTCTTTTTATATTATCCTACTTATTTGACGCTTTCACCTGGCATGATTACTCTATAATTAGTTTTTTTTTTCTTTATTCGAGATAATGTTGACCTGTCCTATCCAGTGGAGTGTAGAGCAATGTATGCATATGACTCAAACTTATCAAATTAGGAAATTCATAGAACATGCGGCGATCAAACGAACATTCGGTGATAGACAGACGGTGCTTCTCTTGAGAAAGAAAAAGAAAATTAGAAAAGAAGCGAACCTTTCTAGTAAAAACAATCTAGAAAATGAACCTGTTCTCATGTTCAGTTAAAATAACGTTCGAACTCTATCTTAATGATGATTGACAAGTGCACAAGACAAGCCCTACGGTCTGTTCAACAATGATCATACATAAAAAACATTTCTTATGAGAAAGAAAGAAACAAAAGAGGTGTCAGATAATCGTTGTTGATATCAATTACCTATTAACATCTTCTCATATAAAAGGTTATAAAATAAAAATCACTTGAATTGAAATCGATCATGGATGAGGATAAAATTTTACTTCTTTTCATATGAACATTTATAATCTATCTGTTATTACTTTACATTTGATGAATGATAAAAATATTGTTTTGTTTGTATCATGTCTATTATATAATCATACTTATGTCGAAACGATGAATGTACATTTATATATGTCTGATTGTGTTCATTGAAGATTATTTTTTACTTATTTATGTAATTGTACTATCGAATATGTATGTTTTTGCAAACTATTCGAAAAAAATTATATGATCAATGTAAAAAATAATATATATATAAAATCAGTTGAAAGAAAGAAAATTTTATCTCATTAAAGCTTTTTAGCATATGATAAAAATGATTGTCATAGATAGAGATGAATGATTTTGAATTTGAATTTAATGGGTCATACTACAAAACAATACTATATCTTTTTTGATTGAAAAAAAGTCTACGAATATCGAGAAAGTCTAATTTTAATCCGACATATAAGTTAACTTTTTTGATTTCTGTAGGTGAAATTTTTAATTAAAATAATAGTTCATGTTTATTTGATACTATATTTTCAATAGCAATAAGGTTTGATTCAACTAATTCTTGCTTTCGTTTAATTGAATCATTTTTTTTTCATGTATAATCGTTGTGAAATCTCAAATAAAATATGTACACTTAAAATGTCAAAAGAAGAACATGATAAAAATTCTTTTACTTTTTCTAATTGCTGTCAAATTCTTTTTATTGAATCTTCAATGTCATGAACAAATTCTTCTTCTTTTATAACTCTTTGTTGTCAAAGTATAAGTCAATATAAATATAAATTATGCATAGATATATAACCATAAAAATCACAGTTGACGTCAAATTATTCTATTTCAACATAACAGAATACCATTTTGTTATGTTGTAAGATTTTTCCTGTTGCTATTGTTCGAATAAAATTCCATTCATTTTCAGCATACCGAACTTCAAGTTTCTATTATAAATCACAAATAGGATTCTTTTAATATTAAATTTTCATTATTCTTTTTTTTCTAGATAATTGAAATAAATCAATCTGAGTTAAAAAAAAAAAGATTTCAATATACATGCAGAAATACGTCATGTTGTTCTTCTCCTTGATTTTGAATTTCCATTAAAGATTAAAACTTTTTCATTTATTATTATAAAATAAAACTGACTTTTTCCTACTACTTTTATTTGTTATTAATGTTGTATAACAATCAATTAATTCTCAAATTTCTTAGAATTCATCAACAGTCTGACAAAATCGAGTTTTATAATGAGAAGAATTAAAGAGAATGTTTACTTTTTCAAGATATTCTAGTATGATTAGCATATTTGGACAAGTTCTCGTTCATCGTGTGCTTGTTTGCATTAGTTTTTTAATTATATTCTTAAGTAGCTTATCTTTTTTTCTTCTCAAGGATAGGATTTACACGTTGATATATTTTTCAAAAACTGGCTAAATTTTCACGTAACTTATGTTCCTTTATATATATGTTTGACTTGTAACTGCGTAATTTTAATCTTTATATTGTTCATTCAGATTCTTAAATCATTTAAAACAACAAAAAATAAATAAATGAATGGATTCTTAAGAATTCAATATTTATTTTTGATCTATCAATAAGGTTTGTATCTGGATAACTTCATGTTGTTTTTCTAACAATTGTTATGTAGATGATAAATGTTAATGACCACATTCGAGTAATGTTCTTTAGGAAAAGACAATTTATTTTTTATTAATAAAGGATTTTTATTGCTGTTATTGCAATTTTCATATTGAAAACTGTTCAAAAATGTTTTTCCATGAGTGTATTCATGGTTATCTATGAAGATGTAAAAAAAAAATCTGCTATTTGACTCTAGCAATCAGAAACAGAATGAAAAGAAAAGATACAACTATAGACATATTACACATAGAAAAAGAATCTGTTATTTGTTGCACTTGTCAATAGTTTTATCTATCATCATCATCATCTCGTTGAGGATACCGTTGTTCACAGGCACAACATAAACAATTGACATTACTGACATCCGTTGGTGCACAAACACAAACAGTATTGCCACACTAAAAAGAAATCATATATATCATTAAAAAAAAGAAATAAAATATTTCATTTACCGAACAACATTGTCCAGAACAACAAGCTTCACATGTAATAATATCTGCAAATTCGATGGACTATTTAAAAAATAAAGAATAATAGATAATTTTTTTTCTTTTTATATAAATTATTTTCTTGTAATATACTCCTCGTTTTGGACAACATGCATCAAGACATGATTCAATTGATGTTGTACTACAACAATCACATGCTTGAGCACATCCTATACAACATTCTTGACAACCTAAACATCGAATACCACTGATATTACAATTGCAGCAATCTCGAAGCATGCCACGAGACTTCAATAATCAGCAAAAAAAGAAAAATAAACAAGCATTAATAATTAAAATAATTCATTTTTTTTATCTACCTTTAAAATTTCTCGAATAATAATAACAATAATCAAAACTAAAATAAGACCACTAATTGTAATCACAAAGATATAAGGCGGAGCCAATGCAAGCTGATTTCCACTAGCGATACCGCCAGGAAGAAACGTAGAAGCCTATAAAAACAATCAAATTAATCTGATATTTGTTTTTTTTTCCTGATAATAAAAATACCTTTACATTAGTTGACATTTAATGCTAGTAATTTTTTTTTTGTTTCAGCAATTCTCCATTTCTGCATTTTTCTCTATGTAACGGCCTCTATTCTAGCGAATATATTGTAATCATGGTAACAACTCTTTTGTTGTTAAGTCTATTGGTGATAAGAATGGCGACTTGAATTCTCTTATGTTCATTATCTGATTTCTACAAAACTACGTTCATCAATTTAAGAAATCATGGCCGACGATGAAGAAGAAATGGGCGAAGAAGAAAATACAAATAATTTAGGCGTATGAGCATTGATTTATTTTCTTTTCTGAATTAATTTTTTTTTTTTGTGATTGTTTAAGTCTTATGAAGGTGATCGTAATGAAAATAATGAACGTCATGGTTTTGGTAAAGCAAAATTACCAAATGGAGATACATATGAAGGACAATATCAAAATGGTAAAAGACATGGAACAGGAACTTATCGATTTGCAAATGGTGCTCGTTATATAGGTTAGTTTTTTTAATAATTTATTTGAATTATTTTATTTTCATATTTTTTTTTTTTGTTTCTTACATCAAAGGTGATTATATGAAAAATAAACGACATGGCCAAGGAACATTTCATTATCCTGATGGATCAAAATATGAAGGTGAATGGAATGAAAATATACGTGAAGGTATTGGCACATATACATATCCAAATAATGATACATATGAAGGTGAATGGAAAAATCATCAACGACATGGAAAAGGAACTTATACATATGCAGCTACAAGTAATGTGTTTAGAAATCCTAATGTTGTTTTTGTCAATTAACAAAACAAAAAAAAAATAACGTATCTTTATAGAAGCACAATATACTGGTACATGGAATAATGGTAAACGACAAGGTCCAGGAGAAATGCAATTTGCTCATTATAAATACGTTGGCAAATTTCATGACAATTACGTATGTTATTTTCAAAATAAAACGAGAATCCATAACAGTTGTTATCGTGGACAGCTATTTCCATGATATTTTCTTTCCTACAGCTCTTAATTAGAACGATGAGTAATCAGAAAAAAACGTATTGAAACTATATATAGATCTCGTTCTCTTTGCCCTAATACTATCTTTGACTTTGCCTACAACCTTAATCTCTTCCTTGACATTTCGATTGCTGTCAACCAATATTACAAGAGTAGCATCTGTATAAAGTGCGACAGTCATGTTGCCATAAAACGGTAAATTCGATAGTGATGACATGAGATTTTCTGATCTCTTATACAGATTATACATACATGTCTATCTGTCATCATCATCATCAGCAGCAGCAATGACAGAAAATAGAGTTTAGATATCAATTGTTGATCTTTTCTTGTTTTTTTGTATATATAATGTAAGACTTCTCTTGTTAGTATTCATCAATAAAATAATTTAATTTTAATAATTCTAAACGAATTTTTGTATATTTCTAGCCAAAAGGTAAAGGTAAATTTGTCTTTAAAAATGGATATCAACAAAATGGTGAATATCATATTACATCAACGGTAATGAAACTCTTTAAACTTATGCATACAAGAATTAAAAATAATATTTAGGTTACTGATGATGATTCCGATGCTCCACCTCAAGTACAATATAAATGGATTGCTCATGATGTTACTCCAGTTGAACAAGAACAACCTTATGATTTAGATGATGAACAAGCTGAAACAGATAGAACACAAGGTAAAATTTAGTTTAATTTTTTTGTTTTTTAAGATTTGTTTTTAAAATTCTTTTCAAAAAAGAATTAATTGATAAATTTAAAAGAAAACAATTAACTAATCAAGAAGGTTTGATTCTATGCTAAAATAGTTTGCATTTTATTTATTATTTTATTTGAATAAAATTAAAATTTATTCTTATTTATAGAACATGATACTCTACAAAGAATGCATATTCTTTCTGGTAAAAAAAAATGATTTTAATCTATTCATTTAATTTCTTTAATATAGATAATAATACACCTGAAAATCAATTAAATCCTGAAACAGGTGATACATTTGATGGAAATGAAGATATTGATGAAAATCGACAAGAGAATGATGGTATATTTTAAAAAAAATACATATAATTATTTTTCTTTTTCATTTATTTAGAAATACCAGGTGAAGAGCAATTTGATGAAGAACCATAGATTGTATTTTTTTTTCTAAATAAAGGAACGATAATATGTCCTTTAAATATAAAAAAAAAACAAAACAATCATGTGATTTCTAGGTTAAAAAAAAAAAGAAAAACAAGTCATTAATGGAAACGAAAAAGAAAACACAGAGATAACTAAACTACATGTTATAAGAGAGAAAAAAAACATGTTCTTTTTTTCTTTGCGAGTATGATGATGATAATAGAAAATAAATTTGTGAACTTAACATTGAAGAGTGTCTGTCTTGTAAAAATTCGTGCATGAATGTTAGCGAGAGAAAAAAAACACACTCAGGTGAGATCTTTTGAACAAAAAAAAAAAATAAATAAATAATTATTGCTTAATTATGCTGTTTGGATTTTTCAGTTGTAGGTTTGATATTGAGTAAATCCTGGGCCTTCTTTTTTAAAGTTTTCAAAGTACCAGATGATTCTTCTTCTTCTTCTTCTTCTTCCTCATCATCGTCATCATCACTGTCGGTCTCTGAGTTCGAGTCGCTGTCTGTATCACTGTCGGAATCGGTATCAGAATCAGAATCTGTATCAGAATCCGATTCTGAAATATCATTTTTTCTTTTTGGTCGATGTTTCTTAGCATCACCACGATAATCTTCGAGATTTTCAAAGATCTCAGCATATTCTTCTAATTCTTCTTCACTGTTTCCTTTTTAATATAAAATTTGAAATAGTGTTAATTAATAAAAAAAATGAAATATATATTCTTACCTCCAGCACACTCTTCACTACATTCTTCACGTCGTGATTTACCACAATTCATCCTCCTCATACATTCGTTATACGATAAAAAGATTGAAGCACGATCACGTGGGATGAAGACTGCTAAAATTGATAAGTTGAACATTTTGTGAACATAGAGAAGACAATTTCTGTCTGATTATTAGTACATATATATGTGTGTGTTTACACTAAGAGAAAAGATCGTATGAAGCTAGCACTAGAGAGGAAAAAAAAGCAAGTATACAACAATGAGTAATATACAGTACATTACAATGTAGGTATAAGAAAAATCTAGGCTAACAATAAAACAAAATTATATTAGATAAAAGATAGATGATGATGAAACAAAAAGGTAACTATTCTCACACAGGATGTTTATATCTCAAAATTTTAATTTTGTTTTGTTGATTTAGATTTTTTATTTTTATCATCTGATGTATTTTCTTCTTCACTACTTGGATCACTTTCATCATTATCTGTCGTTGTTGTTGTTGTGTCTGATGAACTATCATCACTATCGGATGATGATGATGATGATTTTTTATGTGATTTTTTTGATGATTTTTTTTTTGAATCTGATCGATATTCTTCAATATGTTCAAATATTTCATTATATTCTTCCATTTCTTCTTCAGTATTACCTGTAATAAGTATATATAAATAGATATAGAATTCGTCTCAAAAACAAAAAAAACTAATTGAGATTAAGATTATATTTTACTTACCATCAGCACATTCTTCACTGCATTCTTCTTTGCGTGATCTGCCACAATTCATTCGTCGTATACATTCATTGTAGGAGAGAAAAATCGAAGCTTTTTCACGTGCGATGAACACTGCTGAAATTAAGGGTTACAAAAGAAAAACAAAACGCACACTTTCTTTTATTACAATTATTTCAATCAAAAAATACTCATAGAAATGAAGAAACTTTGCTTTATACGATCTTTTACATTGTTTTTATTAGTAAATTTTTTCTTCAAAAGCTTATTTTATGATGACAAAAAAAAAACAAAGTTAATTCGTTAAGTTTTACCTTTTTTATTATCATCATCATCCGAATCTGAATCGGAGTCTGTTGACTGTGATTCTTCTTCTTCTTCACTTTCCTCTTTTGATTTTTTACTTGCATCAATCGTTCTTGTTGTCAAACCAACAGACAAAAGAACAATTAAACAAGTAATAAGTAACCAATTAAGATGCATTGTGATTACAAAGTTCTAATCGTTGTAAAAACAATAAGTCTAAAAAAAAGAAACTACTGGTGATTTCAAAATATAATGTGCTCCATTGTTTTTTTTTTGAATAACTTTTCATAGGAGTACTATAGAAACCTACGATTTTCACCATTCAAGAGAGAAGACTCGAGATCATCAAAATTTGATTGGTTAGTAATTGGCCAATCAGTTGAGTTCTTAATAGAGATTTTCGATCTGCACAAGGCCAATATTCTTAGCTTGTTCCATTCGAGACTTATAAGACTTTTCCTGAGATCTTTGATCATCTGAAAACATAGCGAGGCGGAAGTCACTTATCATGCTAAGTCAAATGATGATGATGATGATATTTGTTTTTAGGTTTAAACTGTTCTAACACTATTGTCTCCATATTTCTGAAGTTCCGCAATCAGCCTCCATTTAACGAAGATGTCGACATTTGAGAACTAATGAGATAACAGTGTTAGATCAGTTTAAACCTAAAAACAGATATCATCATTTCACTCAGCATGATGAATTACTCCCGTCTAGCTGTGTTTCCAGATGATCAAGGATCTTAGAGAAAGTCTTATAACTGTCGAATGGAATAAGTTAAGCATGTCGACCGGGCGTAGATCGAAAATCTTCATCAAGAACTTACGTGATTGACCAATTTGCCGACTAATCAAATTTCGATGATGTCAAGTTTTTTCTCTTGATTGGTGGAAACTGCAGGTCTCTGTAATATTCCTATGAAAAGTTATTTCAGAAATAGTGAAACACATGATATTTTTCAATAGATAGTAATCTTTTATTTATATAAAGGGTGACCCAGAAGTTCTGACTCAATTTGTATAATAAATTTTTCCGCGTGAAAACATGCACTTAAAAATTTGTTTCTATGATAGAAAGATGCAGTAGAACACGCTCTACAAAATGGCCTATGATTGACTTCCTCTAACTTATATAGTAAGAACGTTATAAGCTTAGAAATATGCTTCACAAAAATGAAAAATTAACCGTGGAATTTCTTCGTATGATGGTGCTTTCAATAAAAGTCCTGTAACTTCATCGGAACAGAAGAGATTTTGATCGGATTTGTTCTACTATGATCAGAAATCATTGCTCTTCTCTACCTAACTGTAAAATCAAGCGTCTATCGCGTTTTCTATTTCTTGGACATATTGTCGGAAACGGGGGTTTTTGATTTTTGAAATTTCATTCTCGAACACACCGTCTGCTCTAAAAACATCTGTCTATAGACCACGAGAAAGAGTACATTCTAAACTAACAAACATAAATTCAATTCTTACTTTTGCTAAGCTTATTCGCGAAAATAATAGGAGAAAAAAAGTTCCAGTCGAAAAAACACCAAAAAAAATACACAAAGTTTTCATTTTTTCCACATGCTGAATTCTTGATTGAAGTTCTGAGATTAAAGCTTAAGTATGATTTTGTACAGAATTTCATGGCGCTTCTATTGAAAAAAGAATTTGTTCTAGGAGACTTATGAAACAGAAGTTATTGAGATCAAATTCACTGTTAATTTTTCTTTTTGTGAAGCATATTTCTAAGCTTATAACATTCTTACTATATGAGTTAGCGGAAGTCAATCATAGACTATTTTGTAGAGCGTTTTTTACTGCATCTTTCTATCATAGAGACAAATTTTCAAGTGCATATTTTGACGCAGAAAAAGTTATTATACAAATCGAGTCAAGAATTCTTAGCCACTCTTTACGAAGGAATTCCACGGTTAATTTTTCATTTTTGTGAAGCATATTTCTAAGCTTGTAACGTTCTTACTATATGAGTTAGAGAAAGTCAATCATAGACCATTTTGTAGAGCGTGTTCTACTGCATCTTTCTATCATGGAAACAAATTTTCAAGTGTATGTTTTGACGCGGAAAAATTTATTATACAAATTGAGTCAGGACTTCTGGGCCATCCTCTATATATATGTATAGTATAGTGGCCAAAATTGTAAGAACAACATATGTTTGATTTTTTTCTACAACATTAAGCATCTAATATAGAAATCTCTATTGAATACATTCTACACAGTGGTCCAAAAATAATTCGGTGGTCTTTGATTACGAATAACTTTTGATAGGAACAAGATAAAGAACTGCAGTTTTCACCGTTCGAAAGAAGAGATCAAGATCCATCGAATCATATATTATAGGTTTTTCTAAGATGTATTCTTAATCGATTTTCTCAAAAAAAATGGTTTCTTATAAAATAAGAAAAATGCCAAAAAGTGATTTTTTTTCACAGAAATTAATAGAAAAATCGGCTCAGAATTTCGAATTAGTATACCTATAACTTCTGAAGGAGTAACTCTCAAAATCTGACCATTATACAGTTTTGTAGGTTTTCGACAAACTATTCGAATACATAGCTGATTATAAAAAATTCAATTTAGTCACCTCATGGAGTACGATGGTTTAAATCCTTGAAAAAACTAGTTCAAATTATCTTTTATTATATAATTCTATGCGTCTTCGTCTCTTTTTTCGAATGGTGAAAACCGCAGCTCTCTATCTTGTTTCTATCAAAAGTTATTCGCAAACAAAGATTGCCGGGTTATTTTTGGACCACCCTGCATACTGAAATGTCATTAATGGATCATTAAAACAACATTTCTTAAAACCGAAACGGCAATCTTTAGATCCTAGAAGGATTTGCTTGAATTAGTATTTGATGAGGTCGCCATGACTTAGTGTTTATATGATTCGAATCTCGTTACTACCAGATGTAAAATAATATAGAGCAACAAGTCATTTATAGTTGTTTATCTTGATCACTCGTCCAATAGAATACTAACTACGTTGCAACATATACTTACTTTTATGGTTATCTAGTATTTATGAGAGGAGTTCGAGCAATTACGCACAAGAATTCTACGTCATGTTGGCCTTCTAAGAATATGGATTCGTGCATTACTGTCATCTGTAACAACATCTATATCATTGCCTAATGAAACCATTATTCGATTTTCAAGTTAGATACTTAGTATATATTGCTCTTATAATTCAGAAGTATCTTATTAATACATTGAAAAATTCAAAATACGATAGAAATCGGATTTATATTTATATACTTGAGAGTTCCTACAAAGACAGTGGAACCAATATAAGCACAAAAATAAGTATATGAATACAAAAAAAAAGAAGAAGAATAAAGGTCAAAGAGAAAACCGCAATGATACATAAATATATTGTAGAAAGTTAAAATACTAACCTGAATAGGAAAGAACAATTGACCTTCTTTTTTCTCAATTTCTGTTATGTGTAGAAAACTGCTTATGAGGATAATCTACAAAAAGAAAAATATTAATATGTATGTATATGAAGTTTGATTGGTCCGATGAAAACCACAATTATTTCCATTCAAAGTATTAATATCTACGGTTTTTTTTTTTGGCATCTATCTCAGTTGACTCGAAAAAATCAACAACAAACTATTAACTTCAATCAATACTAACAAAATTTACAACAAAAAAGAATAATAACTTGTCGTTACTTCTCTAGTTCGATAAATATATAGAAATAAACAAGAAAAATAGTAGGAAATAGAGTACTTCCAATAAACATATCGGATAAGAAGACAACAACTATAATAATTATGATAATACTGTGGTTTTTCTTAGATATATAGAAAGAAAGAAAGAAGAGAAGAAGAAGAAGAAGAAAAAAAAAACCCAAACGAGAAACAGTCCTATGTACGACTGTTGGTGTTAGAGGCATCTAAATGATCTTGTGTGATATTTTCTCGGTGATAATCTTTGCTCTTTTCTTTGCTTACTTTGTATTATCGTCCGAAAGAAGAAGAAGAAGAAGGCAAAGGGAAAAAGATGTAGCGCTGCTATTTTGATTAGTCCCAATTTATTACATAAGGTTTATGCTGAATATATTTTTTTTCTCTCGATTATTTATAAATGATTTCTTTGAAAAATAAAATATTATGTCATTAGAAAAGAAAGTTCTCATCATAGAAATCTACATCAATTAATTGTAAAACAATCAAGACATTATTTTTTAGTAATTTTGAAATATAAACAATAATTCTTTTATGACAGGTACTTCATCACATTAATGACTATGGATATTTTTCTTTTTTCTCAATTTGTTGTATCATTTCAATGGTGACAATTCGCAATATATCGAAATTCAGAATCTTTTTCATATAATTCCTTACTAGAATACCCCTGGTATTGTTAATTGGTCTGTTGTTGTATAACTTTGGCAGTAAGCTGTTCGACAGCCGCAAACACACACACGTCCATAAGGGAAAAATGTATGAAAGAAACAACAATCTTTTTTTTTTCTTTCTTGCAACCTCAATCACCACTACTATTCCATATATTTATATATATATATAAAGCAAAAGAAAGATATGCAATATCGATTGGGCAAAATATTCACAACAGCAATAAAACATCCATCTGTCGAATATTGTACGATTGCAGCTTGATTATGATACTATTCATAGACGATGATAGTAATGCTAACCGTACTGAAGATATTTGTGCTAAATATAGATAAACTATATATCATTTTTAATCGAGAAATTATTATGATGATAAAATATATAAATCATTTTTTACTTATTATCAGATTATATTTATTAGAATTTTAAGTAGAAAATTTATTTATTTTTATTTAGTTCATATCTAATATTAAATGTCTTTATTTTTTCTGAAGTTATTTACTTTACAAGGTTATCAGACGCACACAAGCACATAGAGATAAAAAAAAAACACAAGAGAAAATTCAGAACAAAGAAAATTTAGTCAATCATAGCAAGAAATGCACAGTTATATATGTAAAATAACAACAACAAAGAATTTTCGTTGTTTGTTTGTTTTTTTTAAAATTTATTATCACTGTTGAATATTAGCATTGATTTGTTTGGCATCATCAAATTGCTGAAAAAATCGTTTAGCTTGATCATTTGTTTTAAATCTTACACATAATGTTTCATGTTTAGATTGACCATCAGAAAA